CAGAAACTAAAGAAGAAGGATGATTAAGAAAAATTTTTAGAACACTTACTTAGTCTTGAAAAACTTGAAATCACACCCTAAATATCCTATTAAAAACTCTTACCTTAAAAACTCAGATCTTCTGTACCGTGACTCACACTCACAGACGCTCTCTCTGATCGCACACGAAAGAGGAAGGAAATGAAGGAAAATGAGAAGAGAACAGTAACTTAAAAAAAAATGAATGTGGATCCCACGTCTTTTTTTATTACTTTCTTCTTTCCTCTCTCTTTTTTTTTATTTTTTTATATATGTACATCACACAATCATAGCGCCGAAAGCCGTTCCTCCTCCTCCTCCTTTTCTTTTCTTTCTTTTTTTTATCCCCCTCTCTTCCTCTCTCTCATACATTTTATTTTCTTTCTCTTTTTTTTATAATAATAATAATTTAATAATATTTTTAATTAATTAATTATTAATAATTTTTTTTAAAAAAATTTAATTTAGAATTATATCCTAAGTTAGATTTAATAATTATTTTCTACTAATTTGCTTATCTCTAAATATTTTTTTAAAATTTCTATTAATCAAAATTAACTATAAAAATTTAAATTGGGATGTTACAGATAGCAAAGAAACTTTTTTTGAAACATGTCCTAAGTCTTTATGGGCAAATAAATTTAGAGAGAATTTCAGCTAAACACTTGAGAAGACCCATAATTTATGGTAGGTCTTTAAAAAATTTGAAATTTCAACCAGTCCTCCAAGACTAAATTGAATGTGAAAAAAATAAAAATACCCTCCATTCAAATATCTTAAAAAATACCAACCATCGTCGTCAGAGCACCACCGTCGGTGACCGAAGTCTCGCTAGTTATGGCAACCACTGGATTTGTAGTTTAACTTTAAAATCATTATTACAAATATTTAAATTACAGGTCTAGTAGCTGTAGTTATTGGCGAGGCTCTAGTCACCGGCGGCGGCACTCCAGTGATGGTGGTTGGTGATTTTTTAAGTATTTGAACAGGGGGTATTTTTGTCTTTTTAACAGTTAATTTATTTTTAATTTAGTCTTGAAGGATTGACTTAAAGTTTCATATTTTTTTAGGACTCACCAAAAATTATATGTCTTTTCAAGTCCTTAACTGAATTTCTCCCATAAATTCATAGGGGGTCTTTTTGAATAATTTTTCCTAAATAAAATTTTGCGTCACGCTGTGGGAAAAAGAAACGACGTCTAAAACAATAAGAAATAACAAATGAAGACCCAAAAATTTAAAAAGGGAAAAAGCAAAGAAATGTGGGCATGAAATCCAAACAGCAAAAGGCTAAGGGAGAGAACGTCCGGCACTAGTGTTATTTTTTGGCAAAACATGTCGATGCTTTATTTTAATGCACCGATTTTTGTTAATGTATATTTATTTGAATAAAAAATAAAAAATGTGATATTTTACTCGTGTCGAGGTTAATTATATTTTATTTCATAGAAGTTAATAAATTTTTCTTTTATCTTATAGACATGTATTTTTTTCATTTCTCTTTTGTAAAACCAAATAACAAAAGAATAATTATTTTTATAAAAAATTAAATAAATTGGATTTTAAAAATTCACTAGAATCAGAATGTAACTCCAAAGTCTAAAAATCTCTTATTAAAATGTTACAGTAAATTGCCCCTAATGAGGTGATAAGGTCGCTGAATTTGAACCCTCCAAACCAATTGACCAACATTTATTGATGAAAGAATAATATATTCCGTTTTACATAAGAAAGGAATAATATATTCTGTCCACGACAAAATCAAGAATAGGGAGAACCACAAATAGTTACAAGAAGACGAATTAATTTAAATTAAATTTTAAGTATTAAATTTTTAAAAATTTTAAGTTTATTTTTCAATTTTATAATTTTATTGTGGTTAACTAATAAATTATTTTTTAAATTTTAACATGATTAAAAAATAAATAAATTTATTTTCTCTCTTAAAATTTAAAACATAAATTATAAATTTATTATAATAAAATTATAAAATTGAGGGTTAAATTGACAAATTTTTAAAATTTTATACATGAGCCTTGCCTTAAATTAAGAGGACTTTTCTGTCATTCTCTCCCACAAATATCTATCGGCTTAACTCGTCAACAGTTGACTGCGGATTGGTACGCACATGATGGCCACATCTGAATGTCGATCTACATAATTAATTAAATTTTTTATATTTCATAAAAATATAAAAGCTTACCAGTATACATTATTCATTGTTTATTATTAATGTAGCTTAATTTTAAACTCTGCCGCACGTATATTCCACGTAGTTTTTATTTTTTAAAGTATCAAAGTTTTAACTTGTTATTAACCTTTGTGCTTCTCTTTTTATTTCTAAACTGGTATTGAAGCTTCTCTTTTTATTCTTTCCGGCCACCTCATAAAAAGTGCCTTCTTCAGATTCATCATATAGACTGAAAAATTATTAAATATTATTATAATACTTTAGTTAAATAACGTCCTTTAAATGAAAACCAAGCCATGGAAAATGTGGGATGGATTCATTCAACAAATGAAATAGAAAAAAATTAATCAGTTAATTCTTATAATTTTGACCTAATTATATCTTAATCTCTAAAGTTGTGACTCGATTACAAATTAGTCCTTAAATTTTATCTATTGTAATTTAGTCCCCGAAGTTTTAACCTCTTAAATATTAGTCCCTATATTTTAAAACATAAAATTATAAAGATTAAAAATATTTTAAAATTTTTTACTAATTTTTAAATTATTAAATCCTTTGAATATTTATAAATATTATGAATATTAAAAGTTTAAAATATTTTTAATTTTTACAATTTTATTTTTTAAAATATAAGGACCAATATTTAAGAGGTTAAAACTTCAAGAATTAAATTACAAGAAATAAAATTTAAGAACTAATTTATAACTAAGTCAAAACTTCAAAAATTGGATTATAATAAGTCAGAATTGAAAAACTAAGTTACAATTGGGTTAAAACTGTAAGGATTAAATAATTAATTTTTTTAATGGAATATCACTGAGGGGTAAAATAGTAAAAAAAATCAATGAATAGCTGATCTTTTTTTTTTTTTCTTTTTTTTGACCGAACAATTGATGGCTGATTGAAATTTTGAAAGCAACACTCATTTCTAATCATCAAAAAATGACACTTTTTTATGAACATGAGGGAGCTCTACACAATCTCCGTCTCGCTGTCCTTTCCTTCACGCGGTTTCGCCCGGCTTCATCCTGCCTAACCATTCCAATCATATTTCTCTTACACTCAACTCAGCACTACTTGAAGCTTCAAAAATCAAAATTCAACATCACTGTATTACATTTTAAATTCTAACTTCTCCCCGTTTTATTATAAGTTTTTTTAAAATTTCAAATCAATATTTCATAATACTTTTTTCTATTTTGCTTTCATTTAATTCAACACTTTAACTAGTTTATTGATTGCTATCAAACACTTGTACGTTTTCCAGCGCAATTAAATAAGGAAAAATTGATAAAATAGTTTTACATATTTACTGTATTTTTTAATCTATGTGTGAAAATCTCAAAACATGAATATAATGGAATGGAAGGAATAATTTATTAAAATATAGAGTATTACATAGTACAATCCTCTTTTCTACACGCATCTGCATTTTATTTGAAATATGGATACTTTTTTCCTCCAGAAAAAATATATACTTTCATTTAATTTTGATTTTAAAAAACTATTATCATCTTTAAAAGTATCTACTCTAAGTAACACTATATTAAAAAAAAAAAAAATCACAACAGAAACGTTATTAAAAAAAACAAAAATCATAACAGAAACGTTCTGAAGTGCATTCATTCATTTTATGCATGATATAAATATAACCGGCCTTATAAAAAAAAAAATCGGTACACAAAAGTTCATCCGATTTATCCTGAATTTAGTTTATTGTAAATTAAAGTATTAAGGAAATTTTATGATTTTATTATATGATTGAATAATGAAATATTTTATTTAAGTTTAAAAAACGAAAAATACATTTTTGTACATTTAAACGGACTCTTTCCATATTAAAAATAGTTATTAGCTTTCACATGCTCTAATTTGACTGCAAAAATGAGTATTTTAATCTCCACATATAATAATAATGTATATCATTTGACACGCTTTATTTGTTTGAAAAAATCAAGAACAAATGGTCAAGTGATCATTTATGTTGAAATATTGTTTAAAATACATTTTATATCATGTGAATGGAAGCCAAACCCTCAATAGTCAATGCTTTCGGAAAACTAATCATAATTATAATTATAATTATAATTAAATAAATTTAACATTCCTAACCCAGATATACCTCTATTTTTTTTCAACATTTTACCTAACTAACCATAAAAAAGGATTCAGCTTTGTTTCTTTAACTAACACACGTTTTAATAGATTTTCATTAGATCGCGAATTCATGACTTAAAAGTAACTGGATTCATTAAAATTTTTATATTTTATATTTATGCTGTTACCATTCGGCACCGGAATGACAAAGTCTCTGTCTGTCCTTCGCTCAACAATGCTCTTTGCAATTCTTTGCTCGAAGCCAGACGAGCAATGAGTTGTTTATATTAATTAAGAAATAGTTAGTGCATCTATGTTGATTTTTAATACATATACTTCTAAATTAAATTAAAGTTCCATGATATATTCTCTTTCATCCCTATTACGGAGCATCTCTAACCATTTTACTAGAACTAATAAAAGGTGATTAAATTATTAATTTTATTTAAAATGTAATAAATTTTTAACTTTACACTTATTTAAATAAAAAAATTTAAATTTATATCACATTATCTCTTATAATTAATGAGTATAAATAAAAGTAATATTAAAAAAAATATAATTAATACTCTATTAAGTATTTTATATTAAAAATGAAAAATTATTCTATAAGATGCCCTTTAATAATAGGAGAGGAGGGAGTATTAACTTTTTTAATAGATGTAAGTAAAAATTATTCTAATTCTCTTGTTAGGAATTTGAATTCGGTTGCTCCTAACAGTGGTTCGACTAAAATCAATGTTGATGGAGCTTGGGTAGATGGTGATAAGCCTGCTGGTATGGGAACTGTTTGTAGAGATGATAATGGGTTGTTTATGGGTGGTGTTTGTAAGAAGATGTCAGCAGGGACCTCTTTCATGGCAGAATGTTTTGCTTAGAAGAATGCATTTTCTATGCGTCAAAAATTTTTTGAGTATCATGTTTGCTTTGAATTGGATTGTAAAATTTTATTTGATATGTTGTGCAAGGATTCATCTTTGGGCTGTGAATGGCAGAGTGTGGATGTATTGCAGGAGCTGCTTTGTTTAAAGAATGTTCTTAAAGATTTTAGTTTCTCTCTAGTTGCTCGTGAGGGTAATAAACTTGCTGATTTTCTTGCAGGATTTGCTAGAAAGGGGATGTATCATGTTGATTGGATGACGGTGCCTCCATCCCCTTTGGCTTCTCTTTTTGCTGTGGATCTGAAAGTAGCTCACAGAATTTTTGTTTCTAATTCTTGTATTATGAAAAAAAAAAAGGTTAATTGTTTTAGTATTGCTCTGTGTTATTGTTTTGTTTTTTGTTGTTTTTCTTTTTTGGTAAGCTTGTGAGTTAGTTTGTATTTTAAATTTTTTTGAGTGTTTATTTTGACTTCAACTATTAGTGTTTGTAATTCTTTTTGTTGATTAATAAAATTAACTTTGTTTGGCCAAAAAAAAAGAAAGAAATTGACACAATTTATAAGGGAGGGGAGAGGGGTGACTCTGTTTTTTCCCCTTTTCCTCTCTACTTCTCCATTTCCATCATTCATGTCATTTTATCAGATAATTTTTTAAACTGAAAAAGTTAAAAAAAAAAAAAAACAGAGAGATCCCCTCCCACATGAGAGAAGAACAACAGGTGAACAAGTTAGAATCTGTTTAGGTTTTCACATTTCACATTCTGAAAGTTCAAAACGTGGGATGTTGTTTGGTTATTTTGTTTTATTCTAAACTGATTTTTGAAAAAATGCCATTGAATGTGGATTCACCGAAAGCCACTAGGGGAAGCTTTTTTAGTTTGAAAGTGGGATTTAGCCATTTAACAAAGGAAATAAAAATGTATCTAATTTTAAATTGACCATGATACCCTTTACAACAGTGAGTGACTTGATCCTCCTTACACTGGTTCATCTACCGATCGGAGAGCAAGTTCTCCGTCGTCCACCTCTCTCCTTCTTCTATTCTCCTTTGGCCATGAAGATTCTATCACCCTTCACACTTGTCCTTCTCCCTCCTTCGCCCGCATCTCTTCTTCTCTTCTCCTTTCACCTCTCAACAGATCGAAGAACTTACTTTTTTTTCCAGTTTGAGTTCTTCATATCAGAGTCATCAAAGACAATGAAGACTTTGATTCTCCAAACTAGATCAAGGTTGCATCTTCTTCACGGTGTCATATTGCATTTCCTCCGATGATTTTAGTCGGTCGTTTTTTTCTCCAAGGTGCTTTTAGGAACAGTTTTGCGTCGGTCATCACTTCTTGTGTATTCGTGTTCCTCAATTCTCACACAGGGAAGAGGATTTTATCTTGTCTAGTTTTTATAATTCTATCCATGTCTTTACTATATTCATCCTTTTATATCAATATATATATATATATATATACATTTGTATGAATTGTTACCAATAAAAAATCTATATAAAATTTATGAAAACAGGACATTTGGTGGATTTGACTTTTAAATAGTATTCTAACTTGTGCTCTTCACTTAAAGATCAAACTATATATTATATAATGAATAATTAATTGTGTTAATTTTTAGTATTAATGTATTTTAACCCATTTAATACATCAAATTTTATATTTTTAAAATCTTATTATTTAACCTATCAAATTTTTTGTTATTTAACGTTTTTATAATATATATTTTTAAAGTATTTTTAGTATGAAACATTTTTATAACATAAATTATAAATCATAAATATTAATGTCTATTTGGGTAACTATGCATTTAGAAGTATTTTTCATTATGTATAATTTAAATAATTTTTAATTTATTAGACTGACTTTTAAAAATTTATATTTAAATATAAATTTTATTACAATAACTTATTTTTATTAAATTAATTTTAATTAAATAAATTCTTAACAAACTGACTTTTCACTAACGAAAAACAGTGATATACTTGGTCAAGAGAAGGACTCCATTAAAAAAAACAAAAACAAAAAACGATGGCATGGAAGGTGGGAAATCTTCATAGGTAGCAACGCGAGAGTGGGAGGAAGAAGGATGAACCTCATAAACCACGATCAGATCCCCTGTTCCTTCTTTCTAGAATCCCACAGCTCTGCCCTGCTTGGATTATTTTATTTTTGGTACCGAGTCCAGACTCGTTCTATTTCTCATCGTGACCTCGTCTCAGTCTCGTCGGTTTGCTCATTGCTTGGTCAGCTTTTTTTCTTTCCCGCGAAATTCGGTTGCTTTTCGGTCTTCCTCTAGTAACACATCGTCTCGCTGTAACCTTTAAACAGGGGTTTCTGTTGAAAACACACCCAATTTTCCTCCATTTTTCTCTTTCGGTTTCTTTCCTTTCACGTTTTTTCCTTTTTGATTTTATTTTTATGCGCTCGCGAATCCGTGTGTGGTTCCGTGATCCTTCCGGGAGGGCATTTACTTGGTCCGTTTTGATTTGGTCCCAAGATTCGTTCAAGGGGAAAGCGTCGGCTCGTTAATCCTGAGAAGAGCGTTCCTTAAACATTGAACAAAGCAGAGTAAGATTGAGTTTTCTTCAAGGTTTAGTAAAATAGCCAGGGAAAGAGAAAGTCGTCGTCATCGTATTTGGATACATCAAATTTTGCAGGAGGCACAACGTTGCCGGCAAAGTCACTGTCCTTGAAAACAAAGAGAGAGAAATCGAAAGCCAGATTGAGTTTTCGCGGAAAAAGTTGGCGTCTAAAAGTCAAAAGAAATGCAAGTCATTTCTGTTCGTGGCGAGTGATTTGCATTTCAATTCTATCCCTCTCTCTCTCTCTCTCTCTCTCTCTCTTTGTTTTTCCCCTCCCCCGACAAATTTTCTGCATACATATTTCTCTCTGCCTTCCAATTTTTTCTCTGAGATTCCGGGGGGAGAGATTCTGAAACCCCCCCTTCTCTCCATTCTCCATTTTCATCCCCTCTTTCTCTCGATCACCATGATTTTCGACAAGGTCTCGACGCAATCTAACCTTGACTGCTTCCTCCGGTGTATCACCCCCGTCGTTCATTCCCAGTTCCTACCCAACGTAAGTTTTTATCTTCGAGTTTGCGTTTGATTACCCAGACGATGAGAAAATCTCAATATATTTACATTTATGTGCCTGTGTTTGTTGTCACGACACAGTCGGAGATTAGAAAGCTGAATCGGTTATGGCATCCGTGGGAGAGAGAAAGAGTAGAATACTTGAGGCTGGGTGATCTCTGGAATCGCTACGACGAATGGAGCGCCTACGGAGCCGGAGTCCCCATCGCCTTAAACAATGGGGAGACCCTTGTCCAGTATTACGTCCCTTACCTCTCTGCTATTCAGATTTTCACCAGCAACAGATTCAGGTACCTCCATGCCACTCAGCCCAGATCAAATAGCACCAATGTTGTCCTGTTCAGAATGATGGAAGAATGAAAGTTTGATGTTGATGATTGGGTTTGAATTTTTCAGGGAAGAGACAGAGTCAGGTGAGTGTGAGACGAGGGATTCTTGCAGTGATTGTTACAGCGAAGAGAGTGAGAGTGATAAGTTATGGAGATGCGATGGTTCCTTGTCCTCTGAAGAAGCAGGGTTTGAGCAAGACAGTCTCTGGCATTTGAACGACAGATTGGGTCATCTCTATTTCCAGTACTTTGAAAGATCAACTCCTTACGGCAGAGTTCCTCTCATGGATAAGGTCCGTTAACTCTTTTTTTTTTTTGCCCTCGTCTGATTTTGTTTTGTTTTCTTCAACGCTATTGATTAGGTACAGTAGCAAAAAGATAATCGTTGTAATCACCAGTCACCACATTGATTGGCAGATACCACTCTGAAAAGTTCAACTGTAACTTTTGACTTTTCAACACCAATCTGCAGACTCATTTATTATTCCTTTTCCTTTCTGATCTTGTCAAAGCCATCTCTTTCAAAAAACTGTTCTCTTTTGTTGGATACGATACCCTTCATTGGATGGTCTGGATGGATTTCAAATTCTTCATGTCACCGACCTGTGTAAAAGTAAAATGGAAGGAGATTCGATCAGCGAGTGATGGACTTTATTTTCTTTCAGATCAGAGCTTTAGCTGAGAGATACCCTGGCTTGACGTCATTGAGAAGCGTAGATCTCTCGCCAGCTAGTTGGATGGCAGTTGCTTGGTAATTTGTCACACACACATGTTTATACATAATCTTGAAAAGGATTCATGATAATTAGTTTGATCGAATAGTAAGTACTAATTCTATCTTTTCAGGTATCCGATATATCATATTCCAATGGGAAAGACAATCAAAGATCTTTCCACATGCTTCCTCACTTACCACACGCTTTCTTCTTCCTTCCAAGGTACTGTCCCTTTCCCATTCACGCTTCCCTCCTCGGAATGTTTGCGTCCACCAAGTTTTCCTTTTGTTTCGAAAACATCTTACACGAAAAAAGCACATGACTGAACTCGTCGCAGTAACAGATTATTAGTCCCGTTGAAAGTGTAAGCCATGAAAACAACACTGAACTTAACTGTGTTAGCTAATAGCTCAGATAACATTGAAGGCAGCCAGATTGAAATGAAAAGGTGAAAACTTGGGATCGAATTGAGAAAAAGAAATATAGCTTTTAAGAACGCAAAGAACAACATTTTTTAGGGAAAGTGGAGGTGTGTGCGAAAGAAAATGCAGTGAATGGTGGGGGTGTTTGTGTATGCAGATATGGACATAGAAGATGAGGTAGAAGGAGGGAAAGCGAAGAGAAAGGAAGGGGAAGGAATATCTGTGCCACCATTTGGATTGGCCACCTACAAAATGCAAGGCAATGTGTGGATCTCCGGCAATAATGGGAGGGACCAAGAGAGGCTTCTCTCGCTCTCGAGCGTCGCAGACTCATGGCTGAAGCAACTCAGAGTCCAGCACCCCGACTTCAATTACTTTATGGGCATTCGCCATACCTAAAAACACACAGAGTACTCACAAACCTTATGAAAGATATATATATATATATATATATATAGATATAGATATCCCTTGTGGAAAGCACGCGACACCTAAAAATGCCGCCTTCTAGGGGAGATTGTTTCATATTGTCCTGGATTGGACTAATGGAGCTTTTTCTTTCTTCCTTTTCACTATTACTCTATTAGAGAGAATGTGTCTGTGAGGAATGAGGATTAATCTGTAGTATGCTGTTTTAACGCCTGAGAGTCCACTTTAGGGTAACTTGATGAAATGACCCTGTTCCTGTTCGGCAATTCCTCTGTTCGCAGAGGCTTTGCTTGTAGAGATCGATTGTGTATTGACGATGATTTGGTTGAGGTAAAAAAAAAAAAAAAAACTTACAGACTGGTTTTGCCTCTTTTGTTGTGCGATTTAGTTATTTATCATACATCAAATGAGAATCCTAAAAGAATATTAACATTAAATTAAG